CATAGGGCACAGTCAGTTACATGATTTTCAGCCCTACCACTACACATGTATATGTGTGTAAAGTATTATCAAGTTACAGGTGACTTACAGTGACCCGATAAGGTTTTCAAGGCAAGAGACGAACAGGTGGTTTACCACTGACTTCCTCTGCATAGCAACCCGGGAATTCTTTGGCGGTCTCCCATCCAAATACTAACCGGGGCTGACCCTGCTTAGCTTCGAAGATCCAGGCTAGCCTGGACTATCCAGGTCATGAGGCCCGCTACACGTATTCTGAATCATTAAACTCTTATAAAGTCCTGCTAAATATCTGAATCAGCTCTTTTATTACTATTTGGCAAGCAGGCCTGTAAGGTGAAATGATGTTCACTGAACACACAGGAAGCTGCCTTACACTGACTCAGACTAGGGGTCCGTCAAGGTCAATACTGCCTACTCAAGACTGGCAACGGCTCTCCAGGGTCTTTCACATCACCTACTGCCAGATCCTTTTTAACTGGAGAGGCCGGGGATTGAACCTGGGACTGTGTGCATCCAAAGCAGAGACTCTTCCACTGAGCCACAGACCCCTTCCCCCCCCCAGGGGTTTCATTCACAGTGGATGGGACTCGATGACAGTATGAGACATCCAAATGGAACCTCCGTGTTCTGAGCCATCTGAATGCTTAGATTAGGGTTGCCAAAAACCCCGGTTTGCCAGGGGTCCCCCGTTTTTTGGGGGGGTTTTACCCGCCGGCGGCCAGATGGCCGGCGGGGGAAGTCCCACCCCCAACACCCACAGCCACCCATCTCTCTCCCTTTGTGTGGAACCCGTGTTTCCTCCCAAGCCGGATCTCGGCAAGCGTGCAGGGAAATGCCAGCTTCGTGCTCTTAAAAGGGAAACGCGGCTGCTCTTAAAGGGGAAACGCCGGCTCCTGCATTTAAAGGGGAAACGCTGGCTCCTTTAAGTGCAGGGAACTGCCGTTTCTGGAGATTCGGCGCACGGGCAGGTGGGGGGTGGCGGCAGACGTCCCCAACGTGACATCATCACGTCGGGGATGCCCCACCCCCTCCAGGAACACCCCCAAAGTTCCCCGCTGGGGGTGGAAGATGGACTTGGCAACCCTAGCTTAGATGCTAGGAACAAAATCAGGGAGAATACTGCCCTCGTACCCTGCATATTTGAACACCATCTGACTGGTTCACAGTTGAAACAGAAAGGGGTTTTTTGTCATCTTCTGGGCATGGAACAGGGGTCACTGGGGGTGTGGGGGGGAAGGTATTTGTAAATTTCCTGCATTGTGCAGGGGGTTGGACTAGATGACCCTGGAGGTACCTTCCAATTCTACAATTCTACGAACTGTTGGTTTCATCCAGCAGAGTTCTTCTTACATTTTTATTTAATTTAGTATTCTGTTGGGGCCCATATTCACAACGAAGGAAAACAACCTTTCCAATTTTCAAGCCAATTATGGGCAATGAAGAAAAATGCCGCCACAGAACACAGCCCAGTGATGTCTCCCTACTACTGAGATGCCTTCAGATGTTCCAGCAAATGCAAGAAAACACGGGAATGCTACAGCGAAGTTAGATGACTACAGAGAAGAGCTTGCATGCATCTCTCTCTGCACACAAAGAAACCCCCGCCAAAGCATCAGCAAGGAATCTTGTTGCAAAAGCTAGTTTTAACAATTTTAAAAACCCCTAAAACAGCACAATGAAATGAGGTACATACGGTCCATGAAATGGTTCATCATGCCATCTGGAAATTGAGAAAGTAAAGTGAGGGATGTGGAGTTTGCATAGGAATGGCCAGAGAGAGGAAATGGGCCAGTTCTGCAGTGAAGTTGCTCACGCAGATAATGTGAGATATAGATCTGCGGTCTTGCTCAAGCAATCAGAGATGCTGTGTTCCACAGGACTAGAAGTAAAGGGCTTCAGATCTAAGAGATGAAGCCGATCTAGCCAGTGGGCTGAAATGTCTAGCTGCTGTAATTAATGGCCAGGCATTTTGCGGGACATCTCTAGCCCTTGACTGGCTGCCAGATTACCCTTTGGAAGTCAAAGCTGTATTCTCTGTGCTCCGAATCACATCAAATCCCAGGCCCAAAAATTCTGTTTTTCAGCACAGACAGCATACCAGAATGGCTACACTGTCGTTGCTTGACTAGACTCACTCAATCCTGGCTCCCAATCTTCCTTTTGCCTGCTCCTTATCTTATTCCTGGGCCACCTCAACTACAGCTCTTAAGTGCGTGACCCACAAATCCTCAAAGGCCTCTGGAAACTAGATCCCATTTCTCAACCCAGTGAATCGGGCCTCAGCATTATTTCTGGCTTCTTCTCTTGCAGATGTAAGCCTTCGTTTGCAAACAATGGCTACCACGCATGGAATGTATCGTGGGTACATTGAAGGTTGTTATCCAGGGGAAAGTTTTATGTGAAGCAGTAAGACTGCAAGAGTGACGAAGGAACCAAACAAACAAATAAAAATAGAGGATCAACTAACAGTTCTGGTGGAGAATGGCGGGGAGGTAGAGCTCCTCGTAGTAGTTGGCAGTACCTTTGGGGTCATCAGGAATGATAATGGGCGGAGAGATGTCTGGAAGTTCCTCCTCTCCTGGCTGCAGGCCAGTGGCGCGGAGGTGACTGATGTCCAGAAGATCTGGCACGTCTATGGAAACATCTGCAAAAGCACAGCAGGGCAAATAAGCCTATGAGCCCCCTTAAGACGTTATTAAAGAGGCTTGCAAAACCCATCTACACCCAGTTTGGTGTAGTGGTTAAGTGTATGGACTCTAATCTGGGAGAACTGGGTTTGATTCCCCACTCCTCCACTTGCACCTGCTGATGTGACCTTGGGTCAGTCACAAGCTCTGGCACAGTTGTTCCTGAAAGAGCAGTTTGTGTCAGAGCTCTTTCAGCCCCACCCACCTCACAGGGTGTCTGTTGTGGGGAGGGGAAGGGAAAGGCGTTTGTAAGACGCTCTGAGACTCCAAGTGAAGGGCGGGGTATAAATCCAATCTTTTTTCTTCTTCTTCATCTACCTACACTAAAGCAAAAATTGGGGAAACGGTGCTTTTTAAACTGAGTCAAAGAGAATCCTGAGGTGGGGGAGAGACACAATAATTAAGCCAGTTTTAAAAGGGTTTAGAATGATAATACAGACTAATATCCAGGGAAGTTTGCTAGCTATTGCTTGTGGAATTGAGAGTTTCCTTTGTCTTCCTGACCTTTTTGGGACTCACAAAGTTAACAAGATAATCGATTATTCAAAGCACATACCAAGCTTTTTGGGTATCCAGTCAAGGCCAAAAGTGAATTTCTTTATCTGTACTATGAGGTACTCAGGAAATGATGCGAAGCGAGAGGTTCTGGGAAACAAGCAGTTGTACAAAAAGGAAAGTGAGTAGGCAAGAACACAAAACCAAAAAACAGACACAATGTACACAATTTCAGGAGCTACGGTCACATTAACGTACAAGAATAAGAACTGTCCCTGGGAAGCACAAAAGCAAAACCTGAGGACAACACCCTTCCCCCCCACCAATAAAAGTTCCTTATTTTTAAAAGTAAAGGTTTCCCTTGATCGAAAGCCAATCAAATTCGACTCTGGGGTGTGGTGCTCATCTCCGTTTCCAAGACGAAGATCCAGCACTGTCTAAAGACATCTCTGTGGTCATGTGGCCAGCATGACTAGATGCCAAGGCACATGGAACACTGTTATCTTCCAACAAAAGCGGCACCTATCAAATTTTAAAGCCATTTGGAAGGCCAAACTTGGTACACCTAGAAAATCAAATGTGGCTCACAGCCACAGACTGGCTAAGTCTTTGCTGTATCACATCTGCTCACAACTGCCCCCCCCCTTACAAAAGTGGATACTCACTTAACTCCGGCAGACTTGGCCTGAAGGGCACTGCTCCAGAAGTCTGCTACATTCTCTGGTTCTGAAAAACCCTGCAAACAGGCACGGAACGGGATCCGGGCACGAACGAGCTCCGGAGGTGGCCTCCTGGCCGATTCTGCTTCTCTCCTCTTCAGCTCGTAGGCGATCAGTTCATCTAATCGAAAGCCCAAGTGAAAGAAGGGCCACGTTTGGAGAAGGGATATGTGAAGCACAAATTCATGCCAGCCCCCCACTGAAAACCACCGCTCAGTTCGCCAGCGTCCCCCACTCATGTGCAAATTCCCCCTCCCCCTTTCCTCTGAACCACACTTAATTTTGTCATGACCCAGGATCTGAAAGTGGTTTCAGGATCCCGAATTACAAGCTTGCCCTGGAACAAAGTTCGAGTCCAGTGGCACCTTTAAGACCAACACATTTTAATTCTGGGTATAAGCTTTCATGTGCATGCAACACTTCTTTGGATTTATCTTCAGGTATCTGAAGACGTGTGCATACGTGTGAAAGCTTGTACCCAGAATTAAACGTTGAATACGTGTGAAAGCTTGTAAAAGGTAAAGGTTCCCTTGCTCGAAAGCCAGTCGAATCCGACTCTAGGGTTGCAGTGCTCATCTCCGTTTCCAAGCCGAAGAGCCAGCGCTGTCCGAAGACTTCTCCTTGGTCATGTGGCCGGCATGACAGTCTAGACACCAAGGTGCACGGAATGCTGTTTAACTTCAGCTACCATCTGGGGATCTGGAGCAAAGGGGAAAGGGAAGGACTTCCAAAGCATCTCTAAAATACATACTGAAGCTTTCACATGCACTGAATAATGCCCTTTCAACCCACTTTAGCAACCATTTGCAAGTGGATTTTCCCATTTCACATAGTAAAATCCAGTTGCAAAGTACATCGAAAGTTGTTCTATTCAGCATCTTAAACACTTGAGCCACCGCAGCTCCGTGAAAGCTTGTACCCAGAATTAAACTTTGTTGGTCTTAAAGTTGCCACTGGACTCAAACTTTGCTCTCTTGCTTCCGACCAACACAGCTACGCACCCAAAGCTTGCCCTGGTTAGCGTTCACTTCAGCTACCATCTGTGGATCTGGATTAAAGGGATCAAAGGGGAAAGGGAAGGACTTCTGAAGCATTTCTAAAATACATACTGAAGCTTCCACATGCATCAACCTACTTTAGCAATCATTTGCAAGTGGATTTTCCCACTTCACATAGTAAAATCCAGTTGCAAAGTACATCGAAAGTTGTTCTATTCAGCATGGGGGAAAGCGCAAGATGCCACAGCATGGGTGGTTGTTTCTTGTCTGCTCTCTTGAACCAGCAGCTGCTACACCCGTCTTCAGTTTAAACAAACTGGAGGGAGAGGGAAGGAATTCCAAATTTAGAAGGAATGACAACATCCCAAAAGCGACTAAGGATAGGTTCGCGTCTCTCAGTGACTGGCAGCTGGACACACAAACTGGCTCCACTGCAAAACACTGCATTTGAGGCAACCTCAAGAAAGATGGAAAGCTCTCCATGTCCAGTTAGAGAGTCACAGAGTTGGAAGGGGCCCTACAGGCCATCCAGTCCAACCCCCTGCTTGATGCAGGATCAGCCTAGAGCATCCCTGACAAGTGTTTGTCCAGCCCCTGCTTCAAGACTGCCAGTGAGGGGGAGCTCAACACCTCCCGAGCAGTGTTCCCTCTAAGCTGTGGAGTCTTGTGAGCAAATATTCTACTTTGTGAGCTATTGGCATTAGTTCTGAGTGAGTGATTTGGCTACTGCATACATTAGTTCGCTCTGGAGCCATCCTTCCTGAGCTAAGGCAAAAATGTGTGAGCTGGAAGCTAAAAAACTGTGAGCTAGCTCACACTAACTCAGCTTAGAGGGAACACTGCTCCCG